TCTTCTTGAGTCAGTTTTCATTATTTGTGTCTTTCTATGAATTTGCCATTTCATCTAGGTTAAATGACTTACTGTCATACAGTCATTTACAGTATTCTCTAATCACCCTTTTTATTTATTTGAGGTCAACAGTAGAGCTCCCTCTTTCATTCCTGATTTAGTAATTGGAATCTTCTCTCTCTTTTTTTTTCTTGGCCAATCTAGCTACAGTTTTCTCAATTTTGTTGATCATTTCAAAGAACTAAATTTTTGGCTTTGTTGATTTTCTCTATTGTTCCAATAAGGCCTCTTTTAATGTGCCAACTTTCTGATGTCTGCTTTATTTAAGTGCTGCAAACTGATGTTAAAATTCAACCAAACACCTCAGTAGTTATAGAATTTCCCTTATCTCAATTGTGAAAGGATATAATATTGTAGTTTAAAAGGCAGAAACTTGCTCCATTCATTGCCTGAAATCTTGGGAAAATACTTAACCTTTCTGAGCCTGTTTACTCAAATATAAAATGAAAACAGTAACATAGATGTCTGGAGATGTTGTTAGAATTACGTAAGAAGATATACAACACATCTCATGGCCCAGGGCCAGGCATTTGGTAGACACGCAAAGAATCCTGACTGTCTTCTTGACTGCTAAATTACATGTTGCATATATATATATATTAGTATGTAATGTACTCTATTAATCACTCCTCTCTTTTACTGACCCCATCCATCTTAAAAGCTCAGCATAGCCTGGATCTTCTATCAAATCTCAGTGCTGCTTACCAAACAAATAATTGTTCCAAGGTAGCAAGTATCATCAACACCTGGGCTTACAACATAGTATTCCTTTTGTTGTTGTTGTTCTTGTGATCAAGTTACATGCAACATAGGAAGATAAAATGGACCCCTAAAGAATATGAATCTCTTAAGGACATCCCCAAGCACCTAGCCCTCATTACATGCTTAATAAATATGTGAAGAATAAATGAAGGCACTAGAGGGAGCTATAAGCTAAGGGGTTAGTAAAGATTGTCAACAGCCCAGCTTCCTCTCTTAAGTGGCTAGTAAGAGGCCATACTGGCAGAGTTAAATTGATCAAGTTTAGATATGTTTGTATACACAGTCCTCAAACTAAGCAGTGAGCCTGTGCAACATCGCTTAAGAGAGTGTGCCTAGGTAAGTAGGCTATTTGGAATACAATATAACAGGATAAGGTAGGAAAATGAAAGGTGAGGCAAGATTATTTTGGAATATTAGAAGAATTAAAGAAGTAAAAACCGAGAAGGATACTTTTGCTGTTGTAAGATAGGGAGAAGATAAGAAAAGATCTAAATGTGAAGAAACTTACTGCACAGCTTTCTCAGCCAAGATTTTTCTGAAAGTTGCAAAAAAATGCTCTATAGAACGTCTTAAGAAGTGGTACACAAGCAGACACTTCAGAATAGTATGACAACAATGAGAAAAAGAAGAGAGGGTGGAAGCAGGAACAGAAAAAATGGACCAAAGAAAGGTTTTTATTTCTAATGCACATGTCAAAGATGATTGTTCTAAAATCAAAGTAGCAAGGGGGAAAAGAATGTTTTACTCTAACATTTCCTGTCTATGTTTCAGTCAAGAAAATTCAACACTAAAAACAAAAAAAAAATCATAATTCTGATTTTTTTTTTCATCTCAGATTCCATCTAGTACATCAGAAAGTTCTAAGGTAGAACTAACACAATCCAATTCCAAGCCAATGCCTGATAAAACACCAGTGCTAAATTATCATATGAAAGCCATCACCAACAAAACCCAGCCACAAATAATTCCACTTGTACACCCAGCTCCTAACTATGTACCGCTAATGCTAATGAGTTCAGAAAGAACAATTATTTTTGTCAGTTCTCTGAATGTGGTTTTGAGAAAATAGAATAAAGTAACAGTAATAAAATGAACAGCTGGGAGGAGGACAGCCAGCATGAAAAACAACAGCTGAAAAGGTTCCCGCATGTGCACACACACACACACACACACGAACAAGGATCATCCTATTTCATATATCAAAACCGAGACACTTTTATAGAATATTGTCTATGAAAAGCTAATAATGACGAACTTCAATACTTTAAAAGGGACAGATATCAACCTTTATCTTTTAACTTGTGTTCTATGAGGTAAGTTCATAAATTACACATCAAAACTTCCATAAGTGATAAGCTTATGGTTAAAACATTAAAATTTTCTTTATTAGTTTATCACCTTCTAAAAAGGAGTATTCTTTTGGCTTAGAGTTTTCTGCTTCAGCTTCCATCCAGATTTTTTTGTTTTTACATAGGAGAAAGCTGATGAGAGTAGGCATGAGTTTAGATTAAAATTGGTATATTTTTAGGTGCTAAGATGCAAAAATTAAAATGTGATCATGTTTAACAAAAACTTCAAATCTATTTCAGATCAACTCATATGACTGGGATTAGGCTCCTGCCTTCTCTCTCTGAACTTGAAACAAGTATGGCAAAAACATCAGATAAATAAGCAGTGGCTTTAATATAGTCTTATGCATGCATGTAGTTCACAGGTTCATGAAATAAAATTGGCAAATAGAGAGTAAATGGAAACATTAAGAAGAAAATATTACCTAAAATTCAGCTCGATAGTTTCTTACAAAGTTAAACATCAATTTCCATATAACTCAGCAATTTCATGCATGTATTTCAACTCAGAGGAAATGAAGATGTGTGCACAAAGATTTGTATGCTAATATTCATAGCAGTATTATTCATAATAGTCAAAAATTGGTAATAATCCAAATGTGCATCAAGAGATGAATGGATATATAAAATATGGTATATCCATTACAACAGAATACTATTTAGCAAGAAAGAGGAATGAAGTACAGGTGTATGCTACAACATGGAAGAACTTCAAAAATATTATGCTAGGTGAAAGAAGCCAGATGCAAAACATCACACATTGTATGAGTCCAGTTACATGAAATGTTGAAAAAAGTAAAATCTATACAGACAGAAAGCAGATTAATGTTTACCTGGGGCTGAAGGTGAGAAAGGAGAGTAACTGCAAATAGGCACAAGGATCTTTTGGGGATGTCAGAAATGTTCTAAAATTGGATTATGGTCACGGTTGCATGATTCAATAAATATTCTAAGAATCACTTAATTATACACTTAAAATGAGTGAATTTTATGGTATGTCAATTATCTCTCAATAGAGCTGTTTAAAAAATAATCAAGGGGTGCCTGGGTGGCTCAGATGGTTAAGCATCTGCCTTCGGCTCAGGTCATGATTTCTGGGTCCTGGGATCAAGCCCCATGTCGAGCTCCCTGCTCAGCGGGGAGCCTGCTTCTCCCTCTCCCTCTGCCTCTCCCCTCGCTTGCACTCTCTCCGTCCCTCTCTCTTTCAAATGAATAAATAAAATCTTTAAAAAAAATTCAGTAAGGTGCATAAATTAACATGCAGGTATCTTAATTGTATGCCTCAGTGAATTTTATCATGTGTATACACTCATGTAACCAGCACCCAGATCAAGATATAAAGCTTTTTTAGCACTCCAGTTTCCTGATATGCGTTTCTAACCATAATTCACTATCCCCTCCACAAGAGTGGTTACCACCAATTTGCTCTCCATCATCTTGATTCATTTTGTCTATAACTAAAACTTGAATGTTTCTTTTGCTCAACATAATGTTTGTGAGAGTCATCCAAGTTAATGCTGATATCAGCAGGTCATTCTTTTGTATTGCTATGGAATATTCCATTACATAAATATACCATAGTTTATAAATTCTTCTGTTAAAGAACATCTAGGCTGTTTCCAGTTTGGGGCTATTATGAATAAAGCTGGTATGAACATTATTTTAGATGTCTGTTGGCAGACATATGCACTCATTTTTCTTGGGTACATAGCTTGTAGTAGAAATGCTGATTCAGAGAGGAAGCAAATGTTTAGCTTGGATAGAAACTGCCACAAAATTTTCCAAAGTGATTAAATAAATTTCTATTCCTACTAACAATGTCTACAAGTTCCAGCTGTCGCACATCCTCACCAACAGTTGGCATTGTCAATCTATTTAATTTTAGCCATTGTGCTAAAATGACATTGTGTACCTTGTAGTGTAGGGGCACCCTAGCATGACTTTAATTTGCATTTCCTTGATTGAGAATGAAATTGAACACATTTTCACATATTTACTGAACACTGGATATCTTCTTTGGTGAAGTGCCTGTTCAAGGTTTTTGTCCATTTTTTAATAGGTTATATCCTTTTCTTATTACCTCATATAGAAGTTCTTTATTTTGAATACAAATCTTTTTATCAGATATATGTATTACAGATACCGTTGCCCAATCTGTGGCTTATCTCTTCTCTCTCTTACTGGGGTCTTAGTTTACAAAAGTCCATAATTTTAATGAAGTCCAATTTATCATTATTTTCTTTTATAGTTAATGTTTTTTATGTCCTGTTAAAGAAATCTTTGCCAAGGTTATGAAAATGAGACCTTTCACAGTTGATTCCTTGATCACTGATCAAATTAATTTTTGTATATGGAGTCAAAGTTCATTTATTTTCCTACAAAGATACCCACTTGATACTGTACTGTCTATTGGTAAAACTATCCTTTCCCACTGGATCACAGTGGCATCATGGCCATCAGTCAAGTGATTATATTATACATAAGTCTGTTTCTGGACTCTACTGTGTTCCATTATTCCATTTTATTCTTGGGGAAAGCTATTTTCTTAATTACTGACACTTTATAGTGATCGTGAGCTAGGGAATATTTTAATGCACAATTTGTTGTAGAACATTGTGAGCTGTTTGTTCTTTGTAAGACAGACAAATGCCAAAAATTAACTATTTCAAGTATTACATGTCATCATTTATCTGTTTTGAAGAAGATAAACTCCTCAATCAATGAAATAAAAACCTGAATATTTTTTCACCACGTAAGGCTTACAAAATCTACATGATCCCCTATGTTAACTGAAGGAACCAGTTGAACTCCAGAATGAAAATGCCTTACCTGAGTAAGGTAAATAGTATCTTTGAAAGTCTGTAATGGATCTGTGCTTTCCGGGAGTTTGAAATGAAATCCAATCTGAAGCAGCATTTCATTATTACCATCTGCATGATGTTGTCGATGAAGTGAAAATTTGCTGTTGTAAGACCAGTCCTCTTCAGATGAAACCTTTCGAGTAAAGAGTAAGAGGCACAAATGGGGAAGTTAGGAGTTCCACACACTTCTGACAAACTCAAAAAGTACTCTGCATACGGAAAAGAGCTCAGGGTTTGTGCTGTGACTCTAATTTCACAGATGGTAGATGTTTTTGCCATCATACTTGTTACTGGTGAAAGAGCAGCCCTGTGCAAAGTTGAATCACAAAACCAGGATTTGGCACTTATAACTTCCCTTACTCAAACCTGGAAAGTTACACTTTGGCATTTCTATCAAAAGTCTTATCTTATCAAAACATTATTCCTGTCTTTAGAACATTCATGTGCTTATTTTTAAATGTCATTTAAATGTCATTTACTTTTATTCAAGTAAATAAATCGTCACAAAAGAAAAATGGCCTGAAATCAGCATTCTGTCAAAACTGTCAATTCTTTAACAGGAATAAAATATGACTAGTAAGACAGTAAATGCTTGGGCACCTGGGTGGCTCAGATGGTTAAGCGTCTGCCTTTGGCTCAGGTCATGATCCCAGGGTCCTGGGATCGAGTCCCGCATCGGGCTCCCTGCTCTTTGGGAGTCTGCTTCTCTCTCTCTCTCTCTCTCCCTCTCTCTCTCTCCCCCTGTCTCTCATGAATAAACAAATAAAATCTTTAAAAAAAAAAAGACAGTAAATGCTTAGCACTTGTTCATTTGTTTCTCAATTACTACTAAATATATTTGACATATACAGATGTTTAATTTTGATATAGTTGAAGATACAAACCAATGATACTCTTTTCCCCTAACAGTAAATCTTTTTTTAAAGCCAGGTGCAATTTATGTGATCTTTCTGTCATCTCTTTGAGAAGCTATCATCAGGTCAAAGTGAAAAAACAAGAACAAATACCACACATATGTTAGTAGTATACCTTTTACAGAAAAATAGACAATGATTCTGGCTTCTAGGCCTATGATTTAATGCCCTGTTAGCATTTGAGAAAGATATAAGACAACTGCTGTCTACACCTGAAAACATCAGTTTAATCCAGGTTATGCAAAGACTTTGAAAAAGTCTACCCCACCCTAAAAAAATCCCTGAAAATTAAAAATATTAATCCCTGTTCATAAAATATGACTTATAATTCCCTATAATCATGCAATGTACAGACCAATCACCTTAAAAGGAAAAAATTATTCTTTAGGAAATTGTTTATACCAAAATGTAAGTAGTGTACATTACCCATGTTTGATGTGGAAGGTTTTCCAAATTATACGTATTTTCCAAAACTATTATCACCAGACAGTTTAGAGAACTAATTATTTCAGTTACTTATTTAAAAGAGCTATTAGTATTTACAGTCATCTTGTATACATTTGAGATGTACACATCTTTATCAACAGGCTTCCTTTCTTTCAATGCTTCTTCCTTTTTAAAGCCTGAAACACAACTTCAGGCTTCTCAGCCCTGATTGGTAATGATATGAATGTATCCCATAACTGGTAAACCTGATCTTCTGTTATGTGGAAAGCTTTCTAACTTCTGATAGCCATGGTTAGAGCGTCTTCTAAATTTCAGCTGTAACAATGTTATCAGAAGGAATTGAAAGTGCCAGAGAAGGCTCTAATTGTTTTAAGACTATTACCTCACTTAATCCTCATGACAACTCTACAAGTTGGTATTATCACTCTATTTTAGAGATGAGGCACATCTCTAAAGGTTCAGAAGTTTCAGTAATTTGTCCAAGACCCTAAGCTAGTTGGCACAGTCTAGCTCCAGCCTCTAGTTCTTTAAACCTAGATGCCTCTGAAGAAAATAAAATTTTCACACAAATCCTATGGCTAGAATGGATTGTATTAATAATAATAATAGCTTACATTTTATGGGTTGTAGCTATGTGTCAAGAACTGTGCTAACTGTGCTAAGTGTGTAAATTAACTTAGTCTTTACACATGATCACATGCACACATGCATACCTGCATGTACACACACAGAGACACACACACACACTCTCTCTCTCTTTCTCTCTCTCCCTCTCCACCCCAGAGGTATTTTACTACTACTAAACCCAATTTACAGATGAGGACATTAAAATTCAAAAAGATTAAATAATTTGTCCAAGGCAATATAGCTACTGTACGGCAGTTCTAGTGTTAAAATCCAGATCTGTTTATTCCATGGCCCAAGTTTTTAATCACTGTGCAATACTGATAATGGACTATTGAAAATATGATTAATTTACAAAGAAGTAAAGCATCCCAAACTAGAAAGGGACATTTTAATATTTTTGTTAAGTACATGAAAAAAAAACTCTAACTAGAAACCTAAGTTTAATGTAAAGTTATTCTTCTGGTTTCTTTTATTTTCCGAATTACCTAATTCAAATCCTCAACTAAGCAATGTAGCTCAAAAAACAGGTAATGGTTAAATCAAGGGTTCATAATGAAGAGAACTTCACCTTTCCCTATTTTAAAACATAGTGTTTAGTATCTTTGAACATCATCAGGCATTTCATAAAAACATGGCAACTGCATTATTGTCAGACGGTAAACAGAAATGCTAATAGATTTAAGAAAAAGGTTTAGCAGTTTATAACACTCACCCTCCCGAAATGTAGTGAAATGAAAATGGTTCAGCTTCTGGTGTTAGATAATAAGTTTGTATCCAGATATGCTACTTGGCTATCTGGGGATAATGATGGAACTCTCACTCTCGAGTACTTTGCTTTCCTCCCAGACCTCAGTCAAAGGGTTGGGGGAGGGGGTAGATTATTGTTAAATGAAACAATGAGTCTCTGGTAAAGAGCATCTGCTCAGTAAATATTTTTGCTTCTTTCATTCCTTCCTTCCCATTCTAACACGTGTTCCCACCTGAGTCAGGATACTCAACTCCATCCTCCTTCATTTTGAAACAATAGTATTCCTAAAAAATCTACCCCATAATACGGGAGTAATAAAAAAAAAAGAAAAAAAACCAAGGGGTAGATCTAAGGTTATGACATTACTTATTAAAGTTAAAAATACAGGGGCGCCTGGGTGGCTCAGTGGTTAAGCACCTACCTTTGGCTCAGGTCATGATCCCATGGTCCTGGGATCAAGTCCCACATCAGGCTCCCTGCTGAGCAGGGAGTCTGCTTCTCCCTCTCCCTCTGCCCCTGCTCACACTCTCTCAAATACATAAATAAACAAAATCTTTTAAAAAATAAAGTTAAAAATACAATATAACTGCATTGTGTGGAAGCAAATATAATTGGGTTCAGGTGGTAAAATTGAGGAAGATTTTGAAATTGTCTTAAATTTTTTTTGTGGTTATTTTACACAAGTAATAGGGGAGGGAAACAAAAACTAAAGGTACATGATTTTTTTTATAACTTTTTTTAAAGTTCTTATTTACTTATTTATCTTAAGAGAAAGCACACGTGCATGTATGAGTGGAGGAGGGGCAGAGGGAGACAGAGAGAGAATCTCAAGCAGACTCTGTGATGAGCGCAGAGCCCACGACCCTGAGATCATGACCTGAGCTGAAATCACACTTAACTGACTGAGCCACCCAGGGACCCCCAGGTTCATGATTATTTCAACAGATGCAGAAAAAGAACATTTGACAAAATCCAACACCGTTTTATGATACAAACACTCAACCAACTAGGAATAAAAGGGAACGTCCTCAACCCTGGTAAAAGGCATCTATGAAAAACCTACAGTTAACGTCTTACTACACAGTAACAGACTAAAAGCTTTCTCCCTAAGAAAAGCAATGAGACAAAGATGTCTGTTCTTACCATTTCTATTCTATGTTGTACTGGAGGTTCTAGCCAGGGCAATTAGCCAAGAAAAGTTAATAAAAGGCATCCATATTGAAAAGGAAGAAGTAGAACTAATTCTATCTACAGATGACATACTCTTAAATATAGAAAAACATAAAGGATTCACAAAAACTATTAAAGCTAATAAATAAGTTCTGCAAGGTTGCAGAATATATGTTCAATCTATAAAAATCAACTGTCTCTTTATATACTAGTAAGGAACAATGTGAAAGTAAGTTAAGAAAATAATTCCATTCACAAAAAGAATAAAATATTTAGGAATAAATTCAACCAAAGAAGTATAAACTTTGCACAATGAAACTACAAAATAGTGAAAGAAGACATCACATGTTCATGGATAAGGAGACTTCATATTGTTAAGATGACAACATTTTGCAAACTAATCTACTGATTCAACACAATCCCTATCAAAATCCCAGTGGATTTTTTTGCAGAAACCAGCAAGGTGATCCTAAAATTGATATGTAAATGGAAGGTACCCAGAACAGTCAAAACAATCTTGAAAAGAAGAACAAAGTTGGTGGAGTCACCCTTCCTGCTTTCGAAACTCACTACACAAAGCCATAAGTAATGATGACAGTGCATACTGGCATAAAATAGACAGGCAGATCAATGGAAACAAACTGAGAATCCAGAAATAAACCTTAACATTTATGGTTAATTGATTTTGACAAAGGGGTCAAGAGAATCAATGGGGGAAAGAATACTGTTTTCTTTTTTTTTATTTTAATTTTATTTTATTATGTTAGTCACCATACAGTATATCATTAGTTTTTGAAGAATAATGTTTTCAATAAATGATGTTTGGATAACTAGATATCCACATGCAAAAAGATGAACCTGGACATCTACTTCACACCATATAGAATAATTAACTCAAAACAGATCACAGATCTAAATGTAAGAGCTAAAACTAAAAGACAACACAGAAGTAAAATTTTGTGATCTTAGGTTAGAAAATGGTTTCCTAGATACAATACCAAAAGCACAAGAGATAAAAAAGAAGATTGATAAGGACTTCTTCAAAATTTAAAACTTTTGGGGCACCTGGGTGGCTCAGTCGGTTAAGTGTCTGCCTTTGGCTCAGGTCATGATCTCATGGTCCTGGGATCGAGCCCCACATCAGGCTCCTTGCTTGGCAGGGAGCCTGCTTCTCCCTCTCCCACTGCCCCCTCCCTGCTGGTGCTCTCTCTCTCTAATAAATAAAAAAATATTTTAAAAAAATTTAAAACTTTTGGGTGCCTGGGTGGCTCAGTTGGTTGGGTGACTGCCTTCAGCTCAGGTCATGATCCTGGAGTCCCAGGATCGAGCCCTGCATCGGAGTCCCAGGATCGAGCCCTGCATCAGGCTCCCTGCTTAGCAGGGAGTCTGCTTCTCCCTCTGACCCTTCCCCCTCTCATGCTCTCTCTCTCTATCATTCTCTCTCTCTCAAATAAATAAAATCTTTTTAAAAAAAATTTTAAACTTTTGTGCTTTAAATGACACCATCAACTAAGTAAAAAGAAAACCTATAAATTAGGAGAAAATATTCGCAAATCATATATCTGATAAAAAAATCCAGAAAAAAAAAATATATATATATATTTATATATATATAAAACTCTTTTCATAAAATTCTTTAATTTAAATTCAATTTAGTTAGCATATAGTGTATTATTAGTTTCAGGGGTAGAATTTAGTGATTCATCAGTTGCATATGTATGAAGTCAGTGCTCATTACATCATATCCCCTCCTTAATGCCAATCACCAAGTTACCCCATCCTCCCCACCAACCTCCCCTCCAGCAACCCTCAGTTTGTTCCCTACAGTTAAGAGTCCCTTATGTTTTGCCTCCCTCTCTGTTTTTATCTTATTTTATTTTTCCTCCCCTTCCCCTATGTTCATCTGTTTTGTTTCTTAAATTTCACATGAGTGAAATCATATGGTATTTATCTTTCTCTGACTGACTTATTTCTCCTAGCCAAATACAGTCTAGTTCCATCCATGTCATTGCAAATGGCAAGATTTCATTCTTTTTGATGGCTGAGTAATATTTCATTGTACATATATACCACATCTTCTTTATACATCCATCTGTTAATGGACATCTGGGCTCTTTCCATATTTTGGTTATTGTGGACATTACTGCTATAAACACTGGCAAACAAAATTCAATAACAAAAAGACAAATAACCTAATTAAAAAATAGGAAAAGGGTTTGAATAGACATTTCACTTGGAACCCTCATACCTTTCCTGGTGGGAATGTAAAATGGTGCAGTGATTGCAAACTATGGGAAACAGTTTGGCAGTTCCTTGGAATATTAAACATATAGTTACCACATGACCCAGCAATTCCACTTCTAAGTGTATACTTAATAGAACTAAAAACATATGTTCACCAAAAAATGTATACAAATGTTCACAGCAGCATTATTCATAATAGCCAAAAAGTGGGAATAACACAATGTACATCAACTGATTAAAGGATAAACAAAATACAGTACATCCAAATGGTGGACTATTATTCAGCAATAAAAAAGAATGACAAACTATTACATGATACAACATGGATGAACCTTGAAAAGTTTATACTAAGTGAAAGAAGCCAGCCTAAAAAGATCACATATTTTATGATTCCCAATACATGAAATGTGCAGAAAAGGCAAATATATAGACATACAAAGCAGATTACTGGTGCCTAAAGCTGGGGTGGGAGGGACTGAGAGAGTGGGGAGTAATTTGGGTATAGAGTTTCTTTGGGGTGATGAAAATGCTCTAAAATTAGGTCATGGTGATGGCTGCACAACTCTGTGAATATACTAAAAACCATTAAAGTGTATCTTTCAAATGGGTGGATTGTATGGTCACTGAATTATATCTCAATAAAGCTGTTTAAAAAAGAACTCATACTTCCAAACTCATTCTAAGAGGCCACCATTACCTTAATCCCCAAACCAGGCAAAGACCCCATCAAAACGGAGAATTTCAGACCGATATCCCTGATGAATATGGATTCCAAAATCCTCAACAAAATCCTAGCTAATACGATCCAACAATACATTAAAAGGATCATCCACCACGACCAAGGGGGATTTATCCCCAGGATGCAAGGGTGGTTCAACATTCGCAAATCAATCAATGTGATAGAACACATTAATAAGAGGAGGGAGAACTATATGGTCCTCTCAACTGATGCAGAAAAAGCATTTGACAAAATACAGCATCCTTTCCTGATTAAAACTCTTCAGAGTATAGGGATAGAGGGAACATTCCTCAAGTTCATAAAATCCATCTATGAAAAACCCACAGCGAATATCATCCTCAATGGGGAAAAGCTGAGAGCCTTTCCCTTAAGATCAGGAACACGTCAAGGAGGCCCACTCTCGCCACTACTGTTCAACATAGTACTAGAAGTCCTAGCAACAGCAATCAGACAACAAAAAGAAATAAAAGGTATTCAAACTGGCAAAGAAGAAGTCAAACTCTTTCTTTTCACAGATGACATGATACTTTATGTGGAAAACCCAAAAGACTCCACCCCCAAATTACTAGAACTCATACAGCAATTCAGTAATGTGGCAGGATACAAAGTCAATGCACAGAAATCAGTTGCTTTCTTATACACTAACAATGCAACTGTAGAAAGAGAAATTAGAGAAACAATTCCATTTACAATAGCACTAAAAACCCTAAGATACCTCGGAATAAACCTAACCAAAGAGGTAAAAGATCTGCACTCTAGGAACTACAGAACAGTCATGAAAGAAATTGAAGAAGACACAAAAAGATGGAAAAATATTCCATGCTCATGGATCGGAAGAACATTGTTAAGATGTCTATGCTACCCAGAGCAATCTATACTTTCAATGCCATCCCAATCAAAATTCCAATGACATTTTTCAAAGTGCTGGAACAAACAATCCTAAAATTTGTATGGAATCAGAAAAGACCCCGAATCACCAAGGAAATGTCGAAAAAGAAAAACAAAGCTGGGGGCATCACGGTGCCCGATTTCAAGCTATATTACAAAGCTGTGATCACCAAGACAGCATGGTACTGGCACAAAAACAGACATATAGACCAATGGAACAGAATAGAGAGCCCAGATATGGACCCTCAACTCTATGGTCAAATAATCTTTGACAAAGCAGGAAAAAAATGCAATGCAAAAAAGACAGTCTCTTCAAAAAATGGTGTTGGGAAAATTGGACAACCACGTGCAGAAGGATGAAATTCAACCATTCTCTAACACCATACACAAAGATAAACTCAAAATGGATGAAAGACCTCAATGTGAGACAGGAATCCATCAAAATCCTAGAGGAGAACATAGGCAGTAACCTCTTTGACATCGGCCACAGCAACTTCT